CTTCTGGCGTAAATTGTGAGCATATCATTGTGGTGCCAGCTACCATGGCACAACCCACATAATGTACAGCATAGGATGCATTACAGAGCTTTAAAGCCACAGTCGTAACCCGTAAAACTGTGACATTGCAGCCGATGAGGAAGAAGCGCGCAGTAGGCGGCCGTAGTGACGGGGCCACTGCTGGCCACATTTTCTCCTGTCTGCAGAATATATTGCCCTTTATCTGGCAAATTATCTTGAAACGCGTGCAAATAGAATGAAACAATCTAAAATTAGGCGATGTTGAGGAGATAATTAAGTACGGGCTGCGCAGCGACAGCCGACGGATCGCCCCACCAACCCGAACACGAAATGTGTTCTTTGGCCCCCATTGTGTGGTCCCACCGAGTAGAGGAATTATTTTTCTACTGTGTTAATTTGTGTTATTTTTATGTTTTGGTTTTTTTGGCCGCTTCCATGTGAATTTCTCCCTCGGCCAGCCGCGCCAGCCGCTGGACTCTGCTCCGTCCCGCCTGGGGCCCCTATGCCCCTCACGCGCTGATGGGGATTACCAATTTGTTGGTAATGCTTCTCCTTAGATTAGACCATTTATAAAACCTTAACGAACTAAGCAGCACATAACCCAGTGGATTCTCTGCTCCAACTCCGTAAAGTATAGTTGACTGTGCAACTTCAGCCTATATGACCCATCTTATCTTACTTCTTCGCGCTCCCTGCAGCTTTAACCAGCTAGCCGCCACGAAGCTGTATGTTTGTCTGTCGCTTGATATGTCCGTGGTGGTGCTCTGGAGGCGACAGATGATCTCCTCAAATTACCCTTTGTGTGTCTCGTGCATTCATTACACTCCCTTTGTGTCATGTGCCTTACTGCTCGCAGCAATTCCTCAAGCCCATAACAGTTCCTGGCCATGTGGAAGAGTGACGGCATCACTGACTCACCCTGCACTTACGCGCCTAAACCCTTAGCCCAAACCCCTAAGAACAAGCCTGGATATCTCCTCTGCACCCTTAAACACCCTTCCTTTCGTGTCACTTCCTTCTTGGCCCGAGGCTTAACAACAACCATCACTTAGAATTGAGTTCCTCAGGCGGCGTGCTGCTGTTAGGAACAAAACAACAGGTAGAGACTACTTTTTCCTCTCTAAATTATAGTTCCTGTCCTGATGCTGGGACTGTCTATGTGCAGGTGTAGGGGGCAGGTGGTTGGGGTGGACGCAATGTGTTGGATGCATAGAGGAGCTGCTGCCTGTGCTGTGGAACTCGTAGAAGGAAAGGATACGGACAAGTATGCGCAAGCCCACTGCTGTTGGCCGTGTCTTCCTGTTTATTTTTGTCTGCGGTTGTCCGCATTCTGCTCCCTCTCATCGTGTATCTGTCCCCCTAACCCTTCTCTTACTTCCGTCTCTCTACCAGCGAAATCTTTAGACCAGTTTTCACTCCTCCTTGTTGACTCTTTCTTCCTCTGATTTCATATGCTTGGTTCAAGACTACCTGTGTTGTGTATTGGCTTGTTTTGTTTGAGCGATTCGCCCTTGTTGATGTGTCTTCATCCCTGTCGGCTGCTGTGTTGTTCGGTTCCTTATCCTTTATGCTAATGTCAGATTTCTTCGGTTTTTTATTTCAATGGTTTCCCTTCTCCGGTTCTATGGGGTTACTCCTTTGATTGGTGAGGACTTGGGGTTGCTCATACTCTTGATCTCTGTATTCCNCGGTTCTATGGGGTTACTCCTTTGATTGGTGAGGACTTGGGGTTGCTCATACTCTTGATCTCTGTATTCCCGTCAGCCCTGTTTCTTTTAGCCCATCTGCTTTCCATTCCTTTTTTTCGTTGTCTCCCCTCCCTATAGCGTCTGCCTTTGTCCCGCTTTCCCCTTTTGCTCTCCCCCTTCTGCTTCATTGTTCCGTCTGCCTGTTTGTGATTGACTTCGTTTGTTAGTGTTTGTATTCCTGCTCTTTGGTGGAGTGTGGTCTCTTTTGTTCGCTGTTTCCAGTTTTCGATGGAAGTCGGATTGAGGTGAAGTCCGGAGAGGATGAGAAACGCCAAAGGTGGGCTGCATCTTGAACAAAACATGGGTGAAAATACGCACTGCGTTTGATTTTCTTGAAACGCTCTGCTGTTGCCTGTACCCCTGCTTTAGTTGCTGCATTTCACTCGTCGGCTGAACCCTCGTAGATCGTACACTTACCACAGCGACATTTTTTGTATTGTATACATATGCCCTTGGCTCATGGAGTAGCTTCGTAGTTGCTGCATACATTCGTGTTGGCGCCTGGGGAACTGTGATTCAGGCGTAGAGAGACTGCTAGACAAGAGGCTCTCGAGTTGCTGAAACGCAAACAACAAAACCTTCCTGTGGACTACAAGGCAAGCCATAGACCTGCAGCTCGAGGCGTTTAGCACTAAATTCCAAGTACTGATCCCTGTGCATCTTTCCCCAAGCTTCATGCCCTAAATCCTGCACCCCTGCCGTTTTACTCCTCGCTCTTCATCACTAAACAAATAAACGGAGCACCAGTCCCTGGACTAAGAACCCTAGACCACAGATGGAATGTGCCATGCACCTTAAGCTGTATGCCCTGAACCCTTGCGTTTCAGGCATTAAGTCTTAATGCCCCTGTTGCTGTCTCTCCCCTTAGCAGCCCTGGAGAGCTAAGAACGTTGAAACTANCATATCGTTGACACGCCTGAGTGCGAACCCCGGCCCTGTATTACCCCGTGGTTTTGTCTTTCTCCAGGAACTGATGTCCAAGTGCTCCCAAAGCATTTCGATAACACCTGCAATGGTGAGCAGTTCACTGCATGCAGCTGGCAGGAGCAAAGCATACGCCTTTCTTTAACAGTAAACGGACTTCGCAGGCACCCATGCAGCTTCGTGAAGCAGGACAGGCAGGCAATGGGGTGTATATTATTGCGGAGGCAAGCGGGAACGCGGAGCAGGCTGCGGGGCATAGCCGCTCGGCTGTAGGGTTTTGGGTCTTGGGCTCAGCGTTTCATTTCTATTTGGGTGTTTCCGTAGGTGGACAAAGTCATTGCGGCATGTAGGGAGCTCGGGATTCGGTGCATTGTTGCCCCTTTCGAGGCAGACGCTCAGCTGGCCTATTTGTCTCGCACGAACCAAATTGTCCGTCTTTCTCTTCCCTTCATCTGTTTCTTTCTTTCTCGATGCTTTCCCTTCCTCTGTTTGCTTTTGTGTGCTTTTCTCTTTACGCATTTCTTTTTTTTTCATTCTGTTTCCTTCTGTTGCCCTGCATTTCCTTCCTTTGTTTGCTTCTGTGTGTCTGTCTAGATCTACTTCTGCTTCTATCCGACTGTCTAATCTCACGTTTCAACCAGTTTTTATCTTTCCTCAGTCTTGTTCCGCCTTTCCGCGTCTGTCAGTTTCTTGCCATTCTCGCTCTATCCCGCTCTTTGTCCCTGTTTTCCCTTCTCCGATTCTTTCTGTTCACTATGTTTTGTCTTGCTGCTTCATTTGCATCTCTCTATTTGTCTCCACCCTTTCTAATGTGTCTCCGCTTTCTAGCTCGCTCCCAGCTCCTCTCTCTGCTTGCTTTTCTCTCTGCTGCAAAAAGAAAACCGCTGACTCTCTAAGGCGTCAAGAGCAGCAGTAACAAAAGAATTTGCAGCAATGGCATTAGCGACAACACTAGCAGCAGCACACAAAGCAGCAGCATAGACAGTAGGATTAGCAACACAAGGGTGTCAGTTGTCTTTATTTTTCTCTCAGCACAGCGCCATATCCGAAGACAGCGACCTGCTGGCTTACGGCTGCAAGCGAGTGATGTTAAAGATGGACAAAGAAGGAAAGTGTGAGGTACTCCGTCTTCCGTTTCTGCAAGATGAGAACGACAACTTCCTGTCCGAGCCGCAGATACACCACAACAAGACTTCCAAACAAACGGTACGCGCACCACTCCACCACGAACTTCTTCGTTTCCTCCTCGCCATTGCTCTGCATGCATACGCCTGCGTGCATGCGACCACCACATGTACATGCATGCACATACATAAATTTCTCTGGAATCTGAAAAAAATACGGACTATCGGCTGGCAGCTCTCCAGTGGATGTTTTCTGCTTCATGCGCCCGGGCTCCTCGACTGTAAATTCTTCTTATGTATATGTATNTATGTATATGTATGTTTATTTGTTTGTACATATGTGGGTGTTTGGGGCTTAGGGTTCAGGGCTTCTTCCCCCTTATATATACGTTCATTGTTCCTCGGTGTTGACTCAGGAACTGCTGCGAACCCTTAAAGGACTGAACCACGAGCGCTTTGTGGCGATGTGCGTTCTAGGGGGCTGTGACTACACCAACAAAGTGCACATAAACGTTCGTCTGCATTTTTCTTACCTATCAGTCTGCGTTTGCTTCCCCTCCCGTCTCCTGCAGCTGCCTTGCCGCAGCGTTTGCTTCATATCTCTCATTCGCTGTTGCCCCTGCCGCTTGGCCCCGTGCATGCATACATGCATCCGCACGAGTGGTGCATTCAACGGTGCATGAATGTGCTGCATCTCTGGGGCCGACCGCTTTGTTTTGGTGCGAGCTGCAGTTCACTGCCTGCATGTGTTGGGGTTTGTGTGTAGGGAATGGGCGTTGGCACTGCTTGCCGTTTAATAACTCAACTCCGCTCGCTCCCTCGCGTTTTAGACTTCTTGTGTCGCGACAAAAAGTGGTCTTCACGGTTTCCCGTGGTACGGCATTTGCCTTCTCCGCAACGTGCAGGCCTTCTGCGTGCATTGAGCGTGGCTGTCTGGGTTTCCTCTTGCTGGACCAGTACCTGCCCCATCCCAGCCCCCTTATACAGCTAGATCAAGAAGCGACACCGCGCCCGCTNTGCACAGTTTCTCCGCCAGAGATGACAACAAACCACCGTTGCATCCAGTTCCTGTTGCGATGCAGGACAAGGAGGAAGTTGTCGCAGGTCACCTCGAGGCGGAACGTACCTTCATGAACCACAAAGTCTTCGACCCCCGAACCCAACGCGTTGTCCTCATTCGCTCTCACGCAACGCAGGTAACGAAATCAGCAATGTATACACCTCAGCACGCTGCCCTTGCATACCGCCAACCCAACAGCCTCTACAGACGCGTGCAGGCACAATAATATATATATATATAGGATGCACTACATGTATATGTTTGTGCTCTTGTATGTTTATGTTACACTGATGCATAACTGCAATCACTAGCTGCATGCTTGACCAAGAGAAACATGGGCCCGAAGGGCTTCATGGGCGCCCAGGCAAACTCAACTACAACAAAACATTAAACGGTGGAAATGATAATGTTGATTGCCGGTTAGTGGAGTGGACGGCTCTTATTGAATCATTTTGCGTGCCTGATGAGTTTTCCAAGAAAGATCTTGCCTGCGTGTCCAAAATGAGGTGGACGCGAAACTTCGTGTCCTGTTTTGGCCGGTCTAGCACTTGTCATAATCTCCGTTTCTTGCGATGAGCCGTGCTCTCGAGGATCTTTAGAGCTGAACAAAAACTANCACTTGTCATAATCTCCGTTTCTTGCGATGAGCCGTGCTCTCGAGGATCTTTAGAGCTGAACAAAAACTAATGAAAATACTCGCCGTGCAGCGCCTTCTAGCTCGAGGCGTTCATACAGGCCTGGACGCATGTATGCATGCGCTTGTCCCTCTCCGTGCATTGCGCCCATGCATACAGCTGCATGCATGTATCTGCATATATTCATACATATGCATATCTGCATACATCTGCATATCTGCATGTACCTGCATGCAAATATATGCATGCATCTGCAAATGTTCTTCAAGGTATATACACGCATATATCTGCATGCAAGCATACACGTGCATGCATACTTCTGGCTGCATTTATGCGGTGTGATCGGCTTTGCAGGGACAACGCAGTGACATCGACGCCTCCTTTGAAGATGTAGACGAGCGGGCCATAGCCATCGCCACCGGCGTTATCGACCCGAGAACTGGCGCCGCCCGCAACACAGCTGTGAGCAGCGACTGCAGTAGCAGCTGCTGTTACGACAGCAGCAGGACTAGGAGCAGCACCATGGATTGAATAAGCATCAGCTGCAGCAGGATTAGTCTGCTAGGTGCCAATAGGAAACGGATAGCAGTTGAACCCGATAACCGCCGCCGTAGATGCATGCATGCATGCATATACTCAGCGATGCATGAATGTCTACAAGCGTTTCC